TTGTTTCAAAACATGTGAAAGCTAATGATCATTTTTGTAGTCTGTTGGGCTCTACCTTCAATCTCTGTCGTCATGCTAAGTTATTGAATTAATGTACAGGTCATTGACTACTACGCCAAGAAGGGTAATGTAGTGAATCTTCCTGCCGAGAAACCACCACAGGCAGTCACAGCTGAAGTCAAGAAAGCTCTCTCCTGATGGAAGGATGCCAAACTTTTTTTTTTAAACAATGAACTCTGAATTTTGGTTTAACCCGTTATATTTCTAGGTGACTGATGGGGCTATTTATCTTTTATGGCACTGGCTGGTATCAACCCCTTATGAACTTCAGACAAATGTTGCTGAATTTTATTTTATTTTTAACATTGATGTCTACTGAGCTTTTGCAGTTCAGTAGGAAATTACACAAAATTATTACTCTTAACCAAGCCAGGATGAAGTCAAGAGTGTAACAGAAGATGCTAGTAGGAGCCACCATTTTTGAGTGTGTGGGAGGGTAATTGAAGCGGCTTCTGGGTTCTGGATATGTTATTTTCAGTAGTCGCTTTTATGAAACATTACTATATCTGTCAACAGACTCTTTATCATTTACAGGTCGCTCCACAAAAGCATCTCTCTTAGCTGCCCTCTTTTATAAGAAAACAGTTTGTTTACCCTGAAATAATGTTTCTTGAGGTTTGAGTATAGTTCTGGGCAAGGTGCTTCTTGGTTTAGTGCTATTTTGTTTGCTGAAACTAGCGTAGCATGCCTTGGATTAGATTTTTATTACTTTGTTGTACACCAAAACATTTGTCTGAATAACCTTCTTTTATAAGATGTTGGTGGGTAAAAGGTGGGAAGATAAATGTAATCTCCCTGCATTATTCAACCTGCTGCACTCCATTAAGAGTGGGACTTATGCAGTTTTAGTCGATCCTAACTTTGAACTTTTTTCAACGATAGCCTTTTGTAAGTACATATTGAGCAAGTAAAGACATGGCAGCTTCTATATGACTTTCTTTCTTCCCCAATAAGTACCTACAAATGATGATTAAGAGGCTGCACCATCGATGCAAATCTCACATAGAACATCGAATACACACACACACACAAACATATAAAAAGTTTGTGTTCAGAATATCAAATGGTAGATAATTGTCCATCTTTGAGAGTTAAGGAACCATGCAATGATAAGAAAACAGAGCTCCAGAAAATTGAGTGTGACAATTGCAAAAGCTACTTGGAGTTCACCTTCCACCCTTACTGTTAGACCCTAACTCTTTGTCATCGGTCGTGGCACGGCTGTGGCAAGGATTTGGGCGTGATGGCCTTGTCATTGGCCTATGTGCGGGCAAAACGATCATGCGGGCGACGGACAAGACATTGTCATTAAGGGCTGTTGTGGGCAAGTATTGGCCAAGGCCTTGGGACAGACAAGGCGCGCTTGGCAAAGGCTTGACAAGGCAGCATGGGCAGTGTTGGGGCGGCATGGCATGGCATGCGCGCCAAAAACAGTGACACGGACACTTTGGGTTGTGGCAGCAACAAATGTGGCTAAGCTAAAATGCGGATATGCGGGATGATGGCAAAGGCTTTCAATAGCTAAGGCAAGGCTATGTGAAGGAAAATACAAGCAATGGCACGAGGGAAATGAAGGTTGACATGGGCAAGGCAGAAACTAGGCCAAGGCGGTGCGCGGGCGGCAGCGGCGCCGGGCGTGTGCGGCAAAATCATGGGCAGCGGATTGCGGGCAAGGCATTGGCACGGAGCAATGTCAAGATGGGCCAAGGCTGGGCGCAATGCCAGCCTTGGGTGTGATTCAGCTGGGCAAATGAAGTTGCACATGCAATGCACATGATAGGCAGTTTTGGCGGTTACCTTGTCATAACCTTTTTGTCCCATGATCAGATTATGCTTGTACCATTATCCATTTCGTGTATATTGTGTCCTAAGTAGTTGGGGATGTCAACTACATGTTAGGAACANCCATGCGCATGGGGCGAAGCTTAGTAAGTTGCCGATTGCCATCGGTTGTTGCGGGTTGTGTCTGGCACCGCTCGTGGCAGCTGATGGCTTTTGACAACGAACGGCGGAGCGTCGTGCAAGTAGCGCCGCAAGGTGCCGTGCGCATGGGGCGAAGCTCAGTACATGTCGATTGCCATCGGTTGTTGCGGGCAACATCGGGAGGCGACATCGCTCGTGGCGGCTGATGGCTTTTGGCAACAGAACGGCAAAGCACCGTGCAAGTAGCGCCGCAAGGTGCCATGCGCATGGGGCGAAGCTCGGTAAATTGCCTATTGCCATCGGTTGTTGTGGGTTGTGTCTGGCATTGCTCCAACCCCCTATTCGTGCTTTGCGGGGCTTGTCTTGGCTTTGCAACGTTGGCATCGGCAACAACACATGGCTGCGCGTCGCGTGTTGGGGCTGTTGTTGGCTTGCATCGGCGAGGCAAGTGTACGTGCGGCACATGAGTGGTGTTCGGCTTGTGTGGCTAGGTTGGATCCCTGCTTGAGCAGCGACGTCCTAGCCCGCATGCCATCTCAGTCATGGCACAAGCGCAAATTAGGCTTGTTTGGCGTCGGTTTTCTGTGTTGCATACCTAATGCCAAGGCATTATCAAGCACAATCGGTTGCCTTTCGCCCCTCGCGTTCGACGTGCGGGGTGAACCAAAAGCTGCAGTTGTGTCCCAAGTCGTCCTTGCTTCGCCCTGCGATGGCTTGGTCCAGGACTAGTATGCTCGGACTCTCGGATTCGGTAAACGCAATGGGCATGGGGTCTTCATTGGCTCCTATCTGCCCAAAGAATGCTCCTTACGATGACGGTCGTGCTGTCTTGGACTTGGCCGTGCCCTTTGGGGTCGGCCATGCTCATGCGACGCCGGCGTCAATGAGGAATGCTACCTGGTTGATCCTGCCAGTAGTCATATGCTTGTCTCAAAGATTACGCCATGCATGTGTAAGTATGAACAAATTCAGACTGTGAAACTGCGAATGGCTCATTAAAATCAGTTATAATTTGTTTGATGGTATCTACTACTCGGATAACCGTAGTAATTCTAGAGCTAATACGTGCAACAAACCCCGACTTCTGGAAGGGATGCATTTATTAGATAAAAGGTCGACGCAGGCTCTGCCCGTTGCGGCGATGATTCATGATAACTCGACGGATCGCACGGCCATCGTGCCGGCGATGCATCATTCAAATTTCTGCCCTATCAAATTTTGATGGTAGGATAGTGGCCTACTGTTAGACCCTAACTCTTTGTTATAGGGCCTGGCACGACTGTGGCAAGGATTTGGGCGTGATGTCCTTGTCATTGGCCTATGTGCGGGCAAAACGATCATGCGGGCGACGGACAAGACATTGTCATTTGGGCTGTTGTGGGCAAGTATTGGCCAAGGCCTTGGGACACGCAAGGCGTGCTTGGCAAAGGCTTGACAAGGCAGCATGGGCTAAGTTTGGGCGGCATGGCATGGCATGCACGCCAAAATCAGTGGCGCAGCACTTTGGGTTGTGGCATCAACAAATGTAGGCTAAGCTAAAATGCGGATATGCGGGATGATGGCAAAGGCTTTCAATAGATAAGGCAAGGCTATGTGAAGGAAAATACAAGCAATGGCACGAGGAAAATGAAGGTTGCCATGGGCAAGGCAGAAACTAGGCCAAGGCAGTGCGCGGGCGGCAGCGGCGTCGGGCGTGTGCGGAAAAATCATGGTAGCGGGTTGCAGGCAAGACATTGGCGCGGAGCAATGTCAAATTGAGCTAAGGCTTGGCGCAAAGCAAGCCTTGGGCGAAATTCAACTGGCCAAGTGAAGATGGCACATGCAATGCACATGAAAAGCAGTTTTGGCGGTTACCTTGTCATAACCTCTTTGTCCCATGACTGATTATGCTTGTATCCATTATCCATTTCGTGTATATCATGTCCTAAGTAGTTGGGGATGTCAACTACTTGTTAGGATCAGATTTTGACTTAGCCCGACAAGTGGCAAAAGCTGTAGACGACAAGTGTCATTGTGCTGTCAAGTCTAAGGGCTGCCTATATTCTATAAATAGGGCCTTTGGGACTTAGTCAGATTTATGTGGGTAATTTCGTGTGAAATTATAAGTGGGAAACAAGAGTGAAACGTGAGGGTTTCAAAGTGTTTCAAAGGGGACTAAGGCTAGGCTTGGGCAGGTCTTAGTGTTGGCCAAGAGCGATTTGTGTTCTTTGTCAAAAGTGGGCTGTGAGCGGATTGTGTTCATAGCAAAGTGAGGGTCCTTTGTATGTTTTCGAAATTAATACAAGGGTTGGGAATTTTCCCGTATTCGCTTTGTGTTCTTACTTAATTTCTGATTTGCTGCCTAAAAATTCGTCAAGGCCAAACTTGCTGAAATTTGGCTAAGTGTCAAGAAAGGCTGAGTCAAGTGCGGAAGTTGACTGCCGCGCGGGTGTGACTTTGGGCTGACCAAAAACGCCCCCGTGACACTTACCCTCTTCGAGGGAAGTTAAGGGTCAACAATATCAATAAGTAGAAGTAAGAGGGGTTTCTTTGCAATTTTCAACTCTTTTAGGAAAATACGCGTGCAATATACAGTTGGTTAAGTTCTGGCGGGAAAGGGAGAAAAGAATTTTGTAACCAACTTAACTGTAAATAATATCTTGACCAAAATCTCCCCTTCATCAGTTCTCTGATTTTACTACGCTTCAATTTTCTGTTATTCAACCCCTTTTCTCTCTAGAAAACCGTCTTCCACTGGATATATTTTGGTGGTTTTCTTCCTCCATAATTTCCTCAAGAGCTTCTGTAAATTTCTCAGAGAATCTTCAATGGCGAGAACAAGAAATTCCAAGAGCTCATTCATCTCTCTAAACCCATCATTCTTCACTCATTTGCTCTCACTATATCCCTTCAATTCACTCCATTGTTCACCCAAAAAGAACTCAAGAAACACCCAAACACATCTCTACTCATCTCCATTTCTCTCTTTCTGTTTCCTCTCTATTCTCGTTTTCCTCACTTTCTTTGGGATTTTGTTAATGACTTTCCAAAATTCAGTTTCATGCCCTGAGACTTCTTCTTCTTCTTCTTCTTCTTCTCCTCTGTTCTTAGCTTCTGTTTTGGCTGCAGCATCAGGTTCTGTTCAAGATGAACCAATTACTCTATCTACTGGAGTAATGGTGCCGCTACCAGCTCACGGGGCGGTCAGAAACATTTCGGAGGAGGAGAAAGAGTTCTGGAAACAACCGGATAATCAAGGATATTTGCCTTGTTTGGATTTCAGTTTCAAGTATCGAAAAGCCTCTGCAAAGATTTCCAAAGAGAGGAGGAAATTTTTGGTTGTTGTTGCTTCTGGAGGATTGAATCAGCAAAGGAATCAGATTGTTGATGCTGTCGTCATTGCAAGAATTCTTGGAGCTGCTCTCGTTGTTCCTGTTTTGCAAGTAAATCACATTTGGGGTGATGATAGGTAAATCTGAAGTTCCTCTTGGTATTTCTTTTTCCACAGTTTCGACTATTTGGTTTCAAGATTAATGGTTTCTTCTGTGTGCAGTGAATTTTCGGATATTTTCGACGTTGAACATTTCAAGAAGACTTTGATAGCTGATGTTCGGATTGTGACATCATTGCCATCTACACATTTTGTTTCTAAACAGACTATTAACCGCGAACTTCCTTTTCATGTATCGCCACTCTGGCTTAGAGCCAGATTTCTCAAACAAGTAAGATATTGAAACTGCTCCTTTTGCTGTACTAATACTTAAGTTGAGTAGTGAATAGTTCATCCTGTCTAAATTTGTTATGTTAGTTCAATTTAGTCTTAACTTTGTGTTACATTTAATTTTATAGCTAAACGAAGAAGGTCTGCTTATATTGAAAGGGTTAGATTCTAAACTCTCAAAGAATCTTCCACCTGATTTGCAGAAGCTCAAATGCAAGGTAATACAACGAACGACAGCTTGTTTTCTGCACTAGTGATTAAGCTAAGTAGTTGACAAAAATTTAAGAAGTAACTTTTTTGTTTTTTCTAACATGAACAGGTTGCATTCCATGCATTAAGATTTGCAACTCCAATTAGGGAGCTAGGATATCAGATAGCTAGGAGAATGTGGATTGAAGGTCCTTATGTTGCCATCCATCTCAGATTAGAGAAGGATGTTTGGATCAGAACCGGATGTCTTACCGGTTTAGGCAAACAATTTGACAGTATTATAAGTAGAGAAAAGGAATCTCACCCTGAATACCTTACTGGCAAGTTGAACATGACTCATGCACAACGGCGACTTGCTGGACTTTGTCCTTTAAATGCATCAGAAATGGCAAGGTAAAATTCGTTCAAGTCTTTGACCATGTTTTGTTTTACTTTAAAAGAGGCTAATCATTCTAAAATGGGGCATTATATGTTATAGATTTCTGAAGGGTTTAGGAGCACCAAACAATGCTCGTATATATGTTGCTGGAGGAGAACCCTTTGGAGGCGCGCAAGCTATGCAGCCTCTACAAAAGGAGTTCCCAAATTTAGTCACAAAACATACATTGGCGCGAAATGGAGAGCTCAGTCCATACTTGGAAAAATCTTCAATATTGGCAGCTATCGACTACATTGTGTCTTTGAGCAGTGATGTTTTCATCAATTCCCATGGGGGTAACATGGGGCGAGCTCTCGAGGTATTAAGCAGCAACAGACTTGTTATTTATTTACTGATCTTTTTAACATTGGACAATGCTGATTGTTGTTTTGAAATTCGGTGGTCAGGGACATAGGGCATATGTAGGACACAGAAAGTACATAAAGCCAAACAAGAGAATGATGCTGCCTTTCTTTGAAGATTCATCTATACCTGAGGAAGAATTCAAAAGGATAATAATGAAACTGCATAGGAAAAGTCAGGGGCAACCTGAGCCGAGGACGAAGAAGATTGACAGAGATGTAATAGCATATCCTGTCCCTGAGTGTATGTGCAAACAATAATAGACATATCTCTGTGTCAAGAATTTAGACCACTGAGGCTAAAATTTTGTATGCAAATGTTCAATACCATGAGCTTTTTTCAGAGTTGAATATTTCCAGTTTGCCAAGCTGAAAAAAGATCATTTCTGTACCAAGTCTAAAAAAGCAATATGAGGACTAATCTAGATAATAAATCAGTATCGAAGAGTAAACCAAAAGGATATGGGGAAGTATTTAAACTTAGGCTAACAAGCTTCTAGGACAAAGTTAGAGGCTAAAACCTCTGCACATATTCTTAGTAGTAAAGTGGAGTCTTTTCCACTTTAATGGCATTGTACTAACTACATCCAAAATGCATCTACTCTTTGTCACAGAAGAACTTAAGAATTGAATTGAAATGAATCTGTTCATTGAAAATAATATGCGAAACTGAAAGTTGACTGCGTGTTCATTCCACCAAGTGTTTTATTTTTGCCGAGATGGAGCCAGAATTTTAAGTTTTTGTGGGTTCTAAAACTAAGACATGACAACTTACTGTATTCGGGGATAGATTATTTATACATATTAAATGAATTTTTAATACAAATACATAGTCTTGGCAGAAGTTATTGGTTTCTCGCAGATCTGTAATTGCTACTTTAGCTCTACCTGCATTTTTGTTAGTATTAGAGCAGTGAAGTGCTATATGTCGCCATCTGAATTGGCGACGTCTCAGTTACGACATGTTGGGTTTTTAAGCTTGGTTTAGCTTAAAAGAGGGTGAATGAGAAATGGATGGAAAAATGAAATATTTGAATTTCCCTCCTCGACAAAGGGACATTGTCCCATATTGGAGGAGAAAAAGTTTTGATGGGTATATATACAATTGCTCTTCTTCTAACTCTTAAAAAGTTAAGAAGAAGGCAAGTCTCGCGCGATCGTCCGTCGCTCAGCTCGGATTTGGATTTGGTCAAGTGATTGATTAATATTTTGGACAAAATGTATTTGTGAAATCGACTGTTTTTGTAACGGAAATTTAAAGTTTCCCTCCGATTTTATTTTCCCATTTTATTTTTGTGTAAATAGCCATTTACGTAATAGTCGTTTTACGTGAACGGTCATCTTGAAGAGTTGCACCTCTTCGTTTAAACCCAACCTGCTGGCTATATATAGAAGGTCATTCCTACGTAAGTGTGATTTGCTGCTGCCATTTGTGTTTGTTGAAACACTGGGGTTTGAAGTACCGCTACACCAGTGTGAAATCCGTTCTATTCTGGGAGAAAATAATCCACACCTTCGGGTACTAGGAGGGGATTAAGTTCCTTAAGGAAACATTGTGAGTTCAGTGGGCTCAGATTAATTTCTACTTCTTCTACATTTCAGTTTATACATTGTTTTCTTCTCCAAATATTTTACAAATACAATATACTAACAAGCTTAAGGAACTTAATTTTATATTATGTATTTGTGTTATACGCACTGTTCTGGAGACTAATACCTGTGTGGTTTTCTAATCCCGTTTTGGAGATTAAAGCCTTTGTGGTTTTCTACTCCATTTGTTTACTTTAACCTATATTCTGTTTTAGTTTACTATCTGTTATCTGGAGATTAAAATCCTAGCGATTTTCTACTCAATTGGAGATTAAAATCTACATGATTTTCTACTCCAGTTTTCGGTTTGAAGATATAAAAACTTCGCCAATTAACTAGCGATTTTTTACTCCATTGGAGATTCAAATCTACGTGATTTTCTACTCCAGTTTTCGGTTTGAAAATATAAAAACTTCGCCATATATTAAATATTTGTTTGTATCATTCTTTTACAGAAATGACGACTGAGAACGTAAACCAGCTTGTTCATATGGTGACTGAAAATGCATTGACAAGCCTAACAACACCGGCATTGGCACCGGCACTCGCAGAAAAGCCCAAATTTTTTTCTGGAATTGATTTCAAGCGGTGGCAGCAGAAGATGTTCTTTTATTTGACGACTTTAATTCTACATAAGTTCATTAAGGAAGATGTTCATGTTCTGCTTGACGAAACTCTTGACAATGGACGCTTTCTCGTGACTGAGGCGTGGAAGCATTATGATTTTTTGTGCAAGAATTGCATTCTTAGCGGACTGGAGGACGATCTGTATAACGTCTATAGTGACGACCTTTTGTAGACCAAAAGTGATGTCTCTTTAGTCGCTGCTAACAGAAGAGCTATAGCGACCTACTTTTAGTGACGATCTTCTGTGGCGACCTCCACAGTCGCCTCCAAAACTAGTCCCTTTTTAGTCGCCAACTGAAATAGTGACCTCACTTTCTGTGACGACCTTCCGTGGCGATTAGGGTTGTGCATGGATCGGATCAGATCGGATCAAATTTAGCACAATTCAGATCGAGTTTCGAATTTCGAATTCTAGAAAATGCAATCTGAATCCGATCCGAATTAAAAACGGATCGGATCGGATTTTCAGATTTTGTATCAGATTATTATGCCTCAAAGTTGCAAACTCATATGTATATTTTCTTTGTTAAAGAGGCAATACAGTAAGAAAAATTCATGCTTCTGCAATTATGAGAGTACTATGGTGCAAATATAGCTAAATCCATTAATTGTAAAGGTAATTGTTTGGCTCAAAAGTTAACAATATACTTTGTAAGCTAAAAAACAATCAAAAGTAGGAAAGGGGTAAATCGTAATCAAATATAATAATCCTAGAGATGCAAAGATGATAATATTGTTGTAGATCTAGTATTGCAAAGAGACAGTATGAACTCGATAAGATACGTTCGTTTGAAGTAGAGATAGAGAGAGAAAGCCAGAAATTAGAGAGAGTTGTATTAGATCAGATGCCCTTTTTACAATGTGAAGGTCTCCTTTATATAATAGGAGACCTTCTTCGAAAGAATCAAAAAATTACAAAGATAGGTAACGTCTCCCTAGTGAAGACATTGAGTCCTAAACGATGTCGCTTTTACCCCCACGGCCGAGTCGTACCCGCTACGTTGGCAGGCGTACACTTATTGGGCGTACCCACTGGCGTAGAGATGCTGAGGGTCAAATTTGACCCTATACAGTTAGTCCCTCCGCTCGTTGGAGACGCATTCGGTGGGCGTCTTCGAGGGGCGGAAACGTGAACCTCGGCTTAGGAGAATTTGACCTCGACCCGGGGCGGCAATACGAATGGAGTGAAATATATGACGTTGTTGAGCCACTGACGCGCGGCTTCCTTTTTGGAATGACGTCATCGCCCGTGTGCGTCATTATTATATTTGCCCCCGAGGCGGTTCAGAGATGATGTGACATTTTGGTTTTCGGCGCACGTTTTGAATCATGACTCTTCGATTCCTGCGCAACTTATCCCTATAAGTATGAGAGAGGTTCGATTTGATTCTGTTTTCAATCCTTCGGAAAGCATTTTCTGATATACCCCTTTGTCTTTCTTTACTGTAACCGTTATTTCGTGAGGGACTCTCCCACTTCTGTTGAAACCACACTTCTTATCGTCAGTGCTTCGTTTCTTAAGTAGTATAATCATGACAAAACGCGTACAGGGTAGTAAAAAGGCCAACGATAATGCCTCGTCTAGGGTTCCGCCATCTTCTGGTGGTGAAGGGGAAAAGGCGGAGAAGGCCCTTGTTCCTCTCAGCGTAGACAACGTCCTTCCGAAGGAGACGCATGTTCGCAGGGATTTTCCAACTAAAAGCCCTGACCTTCCCTGGGAGCACAGCATTTTATTACAATCTCATTTAGATGACCTTCGAGAGACGCACCATATTCCGGACCACGTGGAAATGGTTCCGGCCGGGACGGACTATGCCAATGTGCACCGGCCTGGATATTGCACGTTCTATGAGTACCCGTTCTTGATCGGTTACAATCTTCCAATCTATCCTCTGATGGAGGAGCTTTGCCGTTTTTATANGGTGGCGGATGGGAGGATCTGGTGTATGGCTGATGTCGATCTCTATTGGAGCGGGGGAGTTATTCTCGTCGTCCTTCGTTCCGTCGATCTCTCCTCGTTTCTAAGTGTATCGCTGTTAGCCGTTGGGTTGGCCCATTAAGATCGTCCTCGTCCGCTCGTACCTCGGCGCAATAGGCGTTGTGGATTTCCTCCCATGTGGTAGGGGGATATTTCATGAGGCGGCTCAGCAGCTTCTTGGTTGCCCTCGAACCATCCCTGCTTAGCCCGTTCTGGAAAGCGGCGACTGCCATACCTTCCGATACGTTTGGTAGACTCATCCTTACCCTGTTAAACCTTGCCAGGAAGTCCCTGAGTCCCTCTCCTGTGGTTTGCCTAACGGCGAAGATGTCGTTGACCCTGGCCTCCACTTTCTTCGCGCCTGCATGGGCTGTGACGAACTTATCCGCCATTTCCTCGAACGTTGATATTGCCTTAGCCGGTAACTGAGAGTACCATGTTAAGGCCCCTCCTGTCAACGTCTCGCCAAACTTCTTCAGCAGTACCGACGGTACCTGTTCTTTCGATAGGTCGTTACCCTTCACAGCGGTGACGTAGTGGATCAGATGATCCTCGGGATCTGAGGTTCCGTCATATACCCTCAAGTAGGGTGGCATCTTGAAGGTTTTTGGGGTGGAGTGAGGGGCAGCTTCTTCAGTGTATGGTTGTTCAACGAACCTTCCCACGTCGCGTTTTGGTAGCAACTTGGGAGCACCGGGGATCTTGTCGACCCTCTCCTAATGTTCCTTCATCTGACCGCGGAGCGCCTTGTTTTCATTTTCCATTTCTTCCATCTTCTTTAGGATGGCTGTTAGCGTGCCATCGTTGGTCTGTGTCTCGATGGGTTTGTTATTTGCTAGTGTAACTTCCGGTTTACCCACGGCAGCAGTGGTACCTACCGTTGGTGTACATCCGATGTTACTTTGTGGTGACCTCTCAACTAAGCCACTTAGAGCTCTTGTTAGCCATCTTTCCAGTAGCTCTTTGACCGTTGAGGGTGCTTCCGTAACCGCAGATGTGGAAGCTCCTTTTTCGTGCAAGATCGTCAGACCTTCGGATAGGGAAGGTGAGATCTCTGCACCCGGTG